ATTCTCACACACACATACGAAACGTTCATAATTTTCAGGAAAAAAAGCTTGTCCTGTAGCGATGTTTTAATGTCGAGTGTTTTGAAGCACTCACCAATGAATTTATGAACTAATATATAGTTGAATAATTTTGTCGAATGAAGAATTTCTTACATTATGGGATATATCGATTTTGCTTCAAAGCAATGAATGATTGAAAATGACAGATCATATTTTAATTAGAATATAATTTCTTGTTAAATTTTTTTTATCAATTCAAATTCATTCTTAAATAATTTTTGAACACTTATATAATTTTTTTCGTCAATTTTATTTCATTCGTGATGTTGATTTTTAAAACATAACCTTACGTGTTTTTAAAATAATTTTGAGAAATTATTTTTCGTTCGATGCAAATTAATTGACTTTTCGAAGTATTCACAACTGCATGTTAGAATATTTAATAACAAGTTCTTTTAATGAATATAAAAAACAACTTTTATGATCAATAAATATTCATAGATTATTTTCATAACAAATATACTATAATAATATGATTATATTTTTATATAGGATAATTATTTTTCTTAATAAAGAATGTTTATTAGAATTTTCACAAATGTTATAATTAATAATATTCCCAAATCGTGTAATTAATAACACAAACAATTTATTTTTAATTAATTATTAAAAAATATTGCTATTTTGATTAAAAAATTGAATATTTTTATTAATCTTTATATAAATTGATATATTGTATTACAATATTTAATCTTTAAAATTTAAATAACATAATTTAAACTTGATATAAATTGATATAATTTTTTCCGTATTTATATTAAGAATTTTAATAATGTGAAGAATCTATTCTTATATTTTATAAATTTTTTTAACACATAAATAAATTATCTTTAAAATGAAACTTTATATCTCTGTAAAAATATTACTAATAGATCATAAAGAATTGAAATATTGTTACTACTATCAATAATAATTTTTAAATTTAATCATATATACACATATGATATAAAAATCTTAAATAATTATTATTAATCAAAATAATAAGTTTTATATTCTAAATTGTTCAATACTTTTAATCATATAATTTACTAGTTTTTATAAGTAAAATTTAATTTTTAATTTTATAATTAAAATCATATAATAAATAATAAGAATTTGAAAAAATAGATTTGATAAATTCACTTAAATTATTTATTTAATTTAAAATATAGATTTTTAATCTATTTATTTATTATGAATGTTTAAAAATTAATTCTTTTTTTTTTTATTGAAAATTTTATAAATAACTGTGAGGTGCTGCCATCTAGAAACTCAAATCTTAATTGTATTTAGTTATATCGGTAAAGTAGAAAATATGGTAATATTTTGTTTTATTTTTATTATGCTAATGTTTTTATTACTAAAATATATACATGCAGAAAAGATAATTAACGAAATATTTAATTTTGAAAATTATTAATTAATAATAAATAACATTTTTTCTTGATATATATTATATTTTTTTTTCCATTGAGAATTATTATATTAATTTTTCTTATTTTTACAAATATATTCTTCTTTTTTTGCATCTTATATATACTTATAAGTATTGTAATTTTTTTGTTTATATTTTATGAAATATAATATTGAAATATTTGTTTTAAATATTTTTTCATAAAAATCCAAAGAAATATAAAATTCAATATTTTACTTAATTATTTATATTATAAAAATTATTTTTTCACCATCATTCTCTAGGAAGTCTATAATGATATCATCTCATTTATTATATCTTATGTTTTTAAAAAAGGTCCTAGTTAATTCTATGATTACTACTATGGTTATTCTTATAATTACATCATTTTTTTTCCATCATCCGGTGATTTTATTTTTTTTTTTTTTTCGTGTGTACTTTATATTTAATTATTATTTTTTTATATTAATTTTTTTATATATTATGTAATAAATATATCTAAATCATATTGTTGTATTGTTAAATAATTTTATTGATAATTTTCCAAATAAGAATTATTTTTATATTATACATTATTTTTATACTATTTATTATTCTAAATTATTCTATTATGATAATGTATCGCGAGATATAATTGTCTCGGAAATTTGAAAGCAATTGGTATGTTTTAATGTGTTTACAGTTTATGAAAAATTTAAATTATTAAATATTTGATAGCAAGTAAATCTTTTATTCGATAAAGTAATATGGGAATGAATGCGTTGATCCGTTATACGTATTTTGGCTGGTATATCAGATGTAGACTTATCATGGAATCTCGTAAAACTTGAAGCTGCGTAATAATACGCGACTGGTTTGCTACAAAGAATTATACGACCTCGTGGTGCAAAGCGCGATACAATGTGGGTCCTCCAGTCTATGCAAATGGATGGAACTTGTATAACTTAACCGTTGACTTTATTTATTATTCTGAAATATAGATAAAGTTGTTTTATTCATTTGAAATCAGTAATAAAAAAAAAAAAAAATCGGTTGAATTGAATTAGCTTATAATTAAAAATTTGACCCGTCAAATTAAACAATTCAAAATTGGAATTGTGTAAAATTCAGTTTATCGAATTAATAATTAAAAATTTGATATATCGAATCGAATAATCTATTCATGTCAAATTCATTTCACCGAATCAATAACTCAAGCTTTGATTTATTTCAAAATTTGATTTATCGATTTGAGTAATTTAAAATTCGATTGATCGAATTGAACTGAATCGAATAATTTAAAATTCGATCAATTGAATCGAGTTGGATTTATTCGTTCAAAATTCTGTTCAATGGAATCGTAATTAATTCGAATAATTCAAGATTTGCATTGAGTCATTAAGCATGGAATGATCATTTAGAGACATTTAATGTTGAAGATGTTTTAATTATTCAAGTTTTTAATACATAA